ACACCTACCTGTGGAGCAGCCTACACATGGTCCCTGACCATTTCTGAAGGCACTGCTAATTACTCTGGGGGATTTCAGGATGCACAGAGGCATGGGTTCACCCTGGTGTCTAGGCCTTACAGCTTCATAAAAATAAGATTCACTATGAAAAATGATGTTGTAGGATTTCTCATTGGTTTGATATATTAATCTGTCTGGTGCTAAAACATACGCCAGCTGAAAGTCAGTTTTTCATTTGTTTGAACATAGTGGATTCTATGAATTTTTTTTTTTATATTTTTATTTTTTCATTCATATATATAATTCTTCTGTCCCCTGTTAGCAAAAATATCTGCAATGTTTAAGGTTTACTAAATCTTCAAAGGCCCAAATTGCTGGCTTTTTGGGGTGCAACATGCAAATAATTAGAAAACATGTACATCTTTAATACAAATTCAAAGTTGAATATGTTTGATGGTCCTAGTAGAAGAGGAAGTTTTAACTATATTTCTGTAGGCACCGGCTTACAATTCATGTGTGGCTGTTAAAAGAGCATGCATACAGATGAGTTCTTAGATGTCTGATGGCAATTTACGTACTCAAAAGATTCCATTTGCTTGTGACAAAGTGGATACATATAGAGTCTGGGCTTCATTTTATGCTTACAATAAGCCTTTAAGTGACTGCTGCTGAGCACATCCTTTGAATAACAAGCAGCATTTGCAACTTCATCCCCTAAAAGTTTATATCTCTTTGCTGGATTAACACTAGAAAGTTACAGGGAGTATGATAACATATTCTACATTTGGATGAGTTCCAAATTGAATGGACAGTATTAAAGACTGCATGTTGCAATGATGCAGCAGGTGTTTGGTTAAAACACTGGCCCACTAAATGAAGTAGTGTTTCCATGAAGCTGGGATTTCACCCTCAGTGTTTACCCCTAACATTGATCCAAACAATTTTGTCAGATCTATGGCTGATATTACTCAGTGTCCTCACTTTCAACTCCATTGAGTGGTTAAAATGATACAGCAAAGTTTGTATCTCACAGCCTGTTTTGACCAGTCTTGCAGTAACGGTGGTTTTGGGGGCTCTGAAAGATTTTTGGACTGAATGCATCCATAACTTGAGCACAGGCTGTATCTGACCCCATTATGATAAACTGATCCAGAGCTTCCATACAATCTCCTGGTTGTCTGCAGTACAATAACAATTTTTTTGCATCAAGTCTGGTTGAATTCGGCCATGCAAGGTCTGCTTTAGTTTTTGTTTCAATATTTTCAATTAATGGATACAACAAAACTTCACAGAAATGGAGGCTGTTGAGTTGAAGAGCTTCATCCCAGCTGTATACTACCTGTAGGCAGCAGAAAGCAACTACAAACCACATAATGGAAGATGATTATTTGCCCATTTACAAAAAATGGGAAGAGGAAACTTACTACACCAAAATGTTTCAAAGTATTGCTGTTGCATGATATTCTATGTCACGTTCATCTATGTTCACTAAATGGAAGGGCAGCCTTTATGTAATACAGCTTTGCAGCACACCTGGGGAGCAATGCAAGATCAACTTGTTCTGATATGTTTCTAAATAAAGAATTCTGAAATGGTTAACGAAATAAGAGTGCTTTCAGCTACAAAAGTATATGAGGATAAATGCTTTCAGTCTCCTTGGGAAAGAAAAAAGGTTTCAGAAGAAATGATCAACATCCCTGCCTTTGGTTATTAGCAGGTATTTTTCTTCCCAAGTGTGGGAGGCAACAGTGAGTAACTATATTCCGGTTTATTGCTAATGCACAGGAGCTTGACAAAAACAAATCTTTGAAATGGCATAATCTATATCTAAAGCCAGAGTGCAAGCATCAATCAATCACAGTTTCATTCTGATGATTCTTGGATAGATGACATAATTGTTTGCTGATGAAGGGAAATAAGGAAATTATCCTTTTAAAGAAAAGCTTTGCTTTGAATTAGAAGTTTTGCCCTTTTTTCTGACACTGAATATTAGATCTGGCCAGGATCCGAACTTACCGAGCAGCCAAATCTGTAATTATCATGCTACAAAATAATATAATTGGAAATATTAAGTCCTTTATGACTTGGATTATGATTAGGACCAGATCAGAAATTTTCTGGTGATATTTTTTTTTCTTGGAAAAGGCAGATGTGCTGACACCAAATATTTTCATGGGTAAACTACCCGCTCCAGTAAATGAAAGAAAACACAAAGCTGTGATGGACTTGCTGCATGCTTGCAGGGAGTCTGGGGACTCCTGGATACATTGCTCAAAGAAATGCTTACATGGAAAACATCCCAAGAGCAAAGGGGTTGAGAGGAAAGTCAACAGCCTTCTGCTTTCATGTGACATGGCTAAAAGATCGGTAAGATATGAGCCCCAGTTCCCGGAGTTTGACTCAGCTGTAAGATCTGGATGTCTGCAGGCTGCTATGTCTCCCTCTCAGTCCATTGGGACAGCACATTAAAAAACATGAATTATGATGAGAAATGTCCTTTAGAATGTAGGTACCAGTCCCACCCATTACAAGCAGGAGTAGGTAGTACCATTTAACTGAGAAGAACCTGATGTAGTTCTTAAAATGTTCCACAGAGTTGGCTATGTAACCCAAATAATTTTAATTAAATAAAAGCAGGCTAATACATAAATATCATAGAAGTAAAGAAAAGTCATATGGGATCATCCTCTGTGTATCCCAGGCATTTCACAGTTTCCAAATTGTCTGCTCATGTCAGTACATCGCCTATCAGATAACAGAATTACCATATGAGGTGATTCTGCTGTAAACTGATCTTTTTACTTTTCATAAAAAAAAGTTAAAATGACCCTGACAGATAGGCAACATAATGGCTCATGGAAACCACTGTGCTGGTGCATCTAACAGTTTCCCAAACCAGACTGCCCATCTTGCTGGATTGGAGTTCGAATAAATTCATGATTGACCAAACCTATCTGTGCAGATGTAGCCTAGATCCTGGTCATTCTTTCCCTTAAAATGCTATTAAAACTAGGCAACTAGGGGGGAAATAAATGTTCCTTACAATACAGGATAACACATTGTCTGTCTCCACGGTATGAAAAACGTGTATGTCAAATAAATGTGTCAGTGCGATACTTACATAAGCAAGAAAACAATGGCATAGCATTAATAGTTTTCCCTCTAAGTAAGGATTTATAAACCATCTTAGCAGACAATACCCTGAGCCTTTAAAATAGTTTGAATACTGCATTATTTCTTATTATTTATCCATTCAAGTGATACATTCCCATCTTTACTCAAAGATTTTCAACAGAGCAACACTGCTTTCAAGCATGTGGTATGGTTATGACCATTACTAAGGTGACAGCAGAAAATGGCATTACCTCAACTTCATTTTGTTCGTTGTCGTAATTTTCCCGTATATTTCTTGACCTCTCTGTGTGTTAACTCAGTTGCTGGGTTAACACTGTCCTACTGCAGAAACAAATAACTGCTATGTTATCTCCCTCTATCGCATACTTGATCCACTCAGTGTTACTTAAAGGCATTGTCAAAGGCATTAGGTGCTTGTCTGTTGTTAAGGATTGTTTCACAAATAGTCCAAAGAAAAATAGTGAAAAGAGTGAACCATAGAAGGTATTGCTTCTATTTTTCTTATTTTTCTTTTTTGTTGTTGTTGGTTTTGTGTTTGGTTTTCTGTGGATACAACGATCCAATAGATACTATCACACAAAAAGTGTGCAGGGGAGAGAACAACCCCACAGTCATTTCATGGGTTTGGAAAGTTTGAAAATAGTAACAGTATAACCAATTTTAATTTTGTCATCTGAAAATGTTAATGAGCACAGTATGCATGGTTTTTTAGAAGGAAGAGTGGACCGTTCAAGATTACTACCATTGATTTCATTTATACTCTTTGCACCCACCCCACATTTTGCAGGCTTTTCTAAATAATGATACCAGAGTACAAACAGGTGAAAAATGAGGAAAGGAGTGGCTCAGTAAATAAAAGAAAGCAGCATTGACTGAATATAATGTTACTTATGACACACAGTATGCAGAATATTCAATCAGGTCTTTTGCAAGCAATTGATATTCTCTATAGCCTGTGCATAATGTTGTCAAGAGAGTTAGAAGGATGTTAACGTTTCATTACTCTTGCTGTTGATTTTTTTCTGCTTTCTCCACAACACGTCAAAACATGACCTCTTATTCCACTGAATTAGTTCCAGAGCACTTAGCATTATTGACCCCTTAATGAAAATTAATGATGGCTTTTTTGATTCAGTTTTTCAAGTAGGCACACCAAACACATTTAAGAAACAGGTACATTTATTTCTCATATTGAAATGAAATAACACACTGTTAAGTAACAAAATGTACATTAATGCAACATTAAATTTTTAAATTTAAGCACACAGAATTCAAGAGATTTAAACTGCATTATCACGAGCTGGCACAGCAAAGATTTAAGCTTGGCAATAATTTCAGACCGGGAAAGCCAATGAGTTTTACAAGTAAAGCTACACATACTCTTAGAACATTTCAGCCTCAGGCCCTAAATTTATAGTAAAAATATGGCAAGACTGAAATGGTTTTACTATGCAACAGAGACAATTGCACATTAGGTTAGGTATTACCATGCTTTTCTTTTCCCTTTTAAAGCTAGAGAAGAATTGAGATTATTTTCAGTGACTTATTTCCTTTATGCTCACAAGATGTCACTCACAGTAGAGTGGATTTCCTCCATACAGAGCCTTACACAAATGTTTGTATGTAAACTGACTTCAGTCTATGAATATGGATCCCTTCTCCCTTGCATCTGTGTAAATAAGGATTACTTCTATCCGGTGAAACAGGACAGGAGAATGGATTCATATTGGGTGAAAGCTTGCCATTTTATCTAAATGATTTATTATTCCTGGGAAGTTCTCCCAGAAGTAATTTCTGTGGAATTACCTAGGAAATCTGCAAGAATAACAAATAAACTAACTTACTTTCTTCCTCTCTTTCCTTAGACAACAAAGACTACGATGCATATCTGTCTTATACCAAAGTGGATCCTGACCAATGGAATCAAGAAACTGGAGAAGAAGAAAGATTTGCTCTTGAGATCCTACCAGATATGCTTGAAAAGCATTATGGATATAAGTTGTTCATACCAGACAGAGATTTGATTCCCACAGGAAGTAAGTCATGTCTTTATTCTTCTGTGTTTCCTAAACAGCTAATGCAGTGATTGCAGTGGTTGGTTTAGTATCATTTCTATACCTACTGCTTCAGAATGTCATCTTTCCTCCCTTGTCTTACAGAATGGTGAAAATAAGCCACCAAACATACTTAATGTGTATTTCCCAGATAAGATTATATCTTTGTATTGTGTTGATTGAAGGTGAGATAGTGCAGAAAGGCCATGCATAAGTAAAAGAAATGAATGAAACTAACAGTTTTTCACCATTTTTTTGAGAGCTTGCATATCTAGGAATGTGTACAGAGGTCTTACCTGGAAAGATTTCCATGATTCTAAGTATTCGCTATGGAAATCAGACAGGAAGGAAAAGGTTATGTTTGGACTAAAACAAGGATTGAGTAGTAACATCTGCAGCAGACCAAAGCAGTGAATTCTGTTAGTGTCCACTGCAGATAAATGTGTAGTTGAGGTACTGGAACATTCTCAGACTGAAAATCAGAATTCATTCCAGTTGGTACAAGTAGATCTTTTTTTTCGTGTTTCTTTCACATATTCGAACATACATACTGTAATTCTTTGTATGTTGATGTAGTATTCTTCATAACTTCAGTTTAACCATATAGACACCTACTGAGATCATTATCTTTTACTAAAGATAAGAAAGGATGTTTGGTATAGGCAAAGCACAACATCAAACAATCACATGGATATTTTTTAAATCTACAGGAAACGAAATGTTAATTTGCAGGAGACCACACTGTTTTTGTGAATGTGTGTGGTGTAAGCATGAAAAGAAAAGGAAAATCTAAGCCTACAGTATATCTCAGAGTATCATTTGGGTTTGAGACTGAGTCCCTCAAGCACATAGTTGCTGCTCTATTACCTACCTGGGTGACTTTGCCTTTTTAAAGGAAAGGATGATGATGGACACGATTGTTCTAATCCACCTAAAAGTCCAATTGTGACACTATTGATATGAAACCATGGCTCATGAACAAACACTCATAACCCATAGTGCATGCAGGAATAGATGTTTCACAGGATCACAGAATGGTTGAGGTAGGAAGGGACCTCTGGAGGTCATCTTATCCAACTCTGTACTCAAGCTGAGCCACCAGAGCAGGTTGCCCAGGACCATGTCATATTGTTCCTGGCACATTTGCATAGTTCAGTGAGCTCTTCTGGGAGCAGGGATTTGCCTCTGTTGTTTCTCCCCAGTCTGTAGGAGCAGTGTTTTCTAGATTGTTTTTTCAGCAATTGTCTTATTTTGTAGCCTACATTGAAGATGTGGCAAGATGTGTAGACCAAAGCAAGCGACTGATCATCGTTATGACTCCAAATTATGTGGTAAGAAGAGGATGGAGCATCTTCGAACTGGAAACGAGGCTTCGAAACATGTTAGTCACGGGTGAAATCAAAGTGATACTGATTGAATGCAGTGAACTACGAGGAGTTATGAACTACCAGGAGGTTGAGGCCCTAAAACATACCATCAAGCTCCTCACTGTCATTAAATGGCATGGACCAAAATGCAACAAGTTAAATTCCAAGTTCTGGAAACGTTTACAGTACGAAATGCCTTTTAAGAGGATTGAACCCATCACACACGAGCAGGTTTTAGATGTCAGTGAGCAGGGGCCCTTTGGGGAACTGCAGACAGTCTCTGCAATTTCCATGGCTGCTGCCACCTCTACTGCTCTTGCCACTGCCCATCCAGACCTGCGATCCACCTTTCATAACACATATCATTCACAGATGCGCCAGAAACACTATTATCGAAGCTATGAATACGATGTACCTCCTACCGGCACCCTGCCGCTTACCTCAATAGGTAACCAGCATACCTACTGCAACATCCCTATGACACTTATAAATGGGCAGCGGCCGCAGACAAAAACTAACAGGGAGCAGAATCCAGAAGAGGCTCACACAAACAGTGCGATACTGCCCCTCTTGCCACGGGAGACCAGTATATCAAGTGTCATTTGGTGACCGAAATGCAAGGGGCTGTCAACCACCTTGAGTAGGAGCTGAGTCTGCAGTCCGGTGCCTGGAACTACATCCTCAACTGCTGCTGTTAAACATGCATTACAATCAATAACATACGAGGAAAAACAGGGTCTTGTACATATGGTTTTTGCAATTTCTTTGTAGCATCAGTCTTCCTGTTTTACTCATGTCTCTTCCCATTCACATTTTCAACTTTGTTTTATATGTCATTGGAATTTGTATATTTACATTTTTTTAAATGAAGAGACTGATGTATAGATAGGAAACTTTTTTGCTTCATTAGTATAGTTTTAGACTTTCTGTTTGTTTGTTTTTAACCTCCCTTGGGAATGCTTGGACCAAGCTATGTTGATATCAGAAGCACCATCCATTTTGTTGGCCTGCCTAGCCTGATTCCTGAAGGCCATGCCTGCTGCAGTTCACCTTTTTTGGAGAATATTCTTAGAAGGACCCCATCCTTCACTGAGAGCTCCAGTTTCATTTCTACTCCTGTAATGTGCACTGCTCCTTCCCTGCCCTTACAATGACCCCATTTGGGGTAACACTGCGGTCTGATCATCTAACATGTAACTTGGTAGATACCTGTCAAACAACAGAATATACCCAATCTGTATCGGTTGCTTCACAGTAGTCACTACAGAGTGTGTAGAAACTAGAGATGGTTTGGTTTTTGCTTTCTTGGGTTTGGGGTTTTTTTAATTATTATTTTAGAATGAGTTGATTGTATCCCTTTTATAAATATAAAAGCAAACCCTATTTTTAACACTTCCTGGAAAAGTATTAATGTGGTTGTGGGTTTTATTTTTAAGCATTTAAATTTTTCTTTCCCCCCTTTCAAAATCTTGCAAATAAGACCATTTACGATTGTCAGGCAAATAAGAAAAGTGAGGCAATAGGCACAGAAGTGCAGAATCCTGCTGATATTTACAGTGATGACTTCCAAACCAAAGGGGAATAAAAGGCAGTGTTGTAGATGGTTTGTCACTTTGTATTATAGAAAGCATTATTTTCTAAAAAAGTAAGAGCAAAAAATTATTTTGCTGTGGATTACAGAGTCCCCTTGTATTCTAATGTTCAAAAAACCCTGTATTATTTGCTTTAAAATTATATATTCAGGATTAAGAAATCTTTCATTTGGGTTTAGCTTGTAATGAAAAGTAAAACTTTCTTAATTTCAAAATTATTTCAGTAAGAACTCAGGCAGAAAAAAATGACATGAATACCAACAAATATACTTGTTTTCAAAATAAACTTTATTTATACAAAATTAATATTTAAATCAGACCTGGAAGTATTTAAAAAAATTATTCGCTTTAATGAATAAATAAATTAGTTTTATTTTTCATGTATGATTCTATCTTTGAGGAGTTGTAAATAATGAATGTACCATGGCTGCCAGGGAGGAAAAAAACCCCCACTATGTTTATATCTGGACATCTTTAAGACAATAAGCATCTTACTCATACTTACATGTTAAATAACAGAAAAGGCTTTTCTGGTTTTAGAAAGAGACGGGAGCGGTACTGTAGCTCTGCAACATATTCAGACCAAGCTCTCTGCTAGTCTCTGCTGGCAGAAGCAGAGGAGCTGGGATAGAGTTACTCATTGCAGCGCACTGTCATATATGGTCATGGGTTTGATTTACCCTGGCAGAAATGTAACTGATATCCTGACAAACAGACCTAATAGTCTATTTATGTAATTAATTTGCTTTAGGTATTTTTTATGGTAGCTGAATAATATTGACCAATATAATGGATGTGTGGGGCTTTTTCATCCTTGTCACAATGAGAAAAGTACAGCTTATAATATTTTGGTCTTCTTAATGAGAAGTGATGGGTAGAGAGTGGGTAAACTGCAGTTTGGGGGATGTTTGTGGGAGTAATCCAGAATTGACAGTGTGGGAGGAAATGACTATGCTTCTGTTGTGAAAGTCAAGAAATCTCAGTATCTGCATAACAAGCTAATAGAGCTTTGGGATGTGCACTGATTTTTAGTTGCTTAAAAATGTTTATTTATGGTGTCTCCTTCTGGACATGTGCCAAACATCCACAAAATGGAAATGAACCTGCCAGGCCACAAAAAATTTTAAGAGAGCTTTGCACGTTTGATCATTTTCATAGTGTAAGAAAGCTATTATTTACTTCTACAGACACCTGTCAGGCACTGATGGCATTTTCCTTCATTCATCTGGATGCCAAATACCCCAGTATCCTATGAAAGCAACGCATTATTTTTTCCCCTTTCCTTCCTCTTTACATACCCTAGGGTAAAGACTGGGATGTGAAATAAATGTAGGATGTAACTATCTGACTGCAGTCATATTTAGACAATTGGTAGGCAATCTCTCTTGGGGAGTACTTTTCTGTTGCTCTATTTTTAGTGTAGATTTAAGCACTTTGAATAGCATGATTCAGGGATTGACAGATACTATTTGATATTCACACTACTTACAATTTTTTTTCTTATGTTTTGTCATAATATATTAAACAAAAGAAAAACAAACAAACAAAAGAATCAACACAAAGCAAAACTGAAAACAAATGGAGAAGCTGTCTATGGCTTTAGAACCATCCCTCCTTAGAATTCCTGCTCTATGAACAGCTCTGTGCGGGGAACAGTGAAGAGAACTGTTTTGTGTTCACATGCTCTGTGTTTGCCAAAAGTTGTTTGAACGCAAAATAAAATGAAAAAAAAAAAAAAACCCAACAAAACAACAAACAACCAAAACCAACCAAACCTGTCATTGCCCTAGTGCTTAGGCTCCACCCTTTTTTGGTGAAGGTGTTCCAGTTTTTGACAATGCAGCCTGCAGCGTGCATGCAATAGCCACATATAAGGTTTAGCCATAAGCAAATAGCACTTTATTTTAAAAACTGCACAGTGTGATGATTGGAAAAACTTACTCTGCCTGGTCAATAACTTTGGGTTTGTATGTGTATTCTATGCACATGAATTATCCAAGTGTGGTGCTTTGTCTTTATAAGGCTCTCTATAATCAGGGTAGTCTTTGCTATAATACTAAAGGACTCTGTTCTACAATCTGTGGAAATTCAGTATATAGGTTCTCTGGACAGCACATGTAGCTGAACAGTAATGGGGGAACTGTACAGTATTCAGCTAATTATTCTGAAGGTAAAGTGCATTGCTGGGTCTGATTCTGTTCTCAGTTGCAGCAGTATGATTTGAGAGTAAACCTAATAAAGCTGAATGAGTTTGATTTGTGTGGGAGAAGAAAATTGGAAAAGCAAAGAGAAAAAGTATTCATATTTGCAGTCTGACAAGCTGAAATCTTGGCTGCAAGGAAAGCAGCAGCAAAATGTCTTCTGAATTTTAGTAGGGACCCAGTTCTCACCTGGCAGCCAACTTCAAATGCTTTTAAAATGATCTGGTTCAGAGCTAAATCTTGTTAGGCTTAGATGCAAACTAAGATTTTGCTATTACTGCACAGCTGCAAAAACCATGTGTATGTTACATAATGGGTGATAATCAGCTTTGGAATAATTGGAAAGCTTGTTATACCCGCCTGATTAAAATTCACAAAGTTTTACTTCGATATTGTGCATTAATGACATGTTTAAATTATAGATAAAGCAGTGAGATTTGGGGAAAACTGGCTGGGTAAACAGGCTTCCTTCATTCTTAAATTGAAGGAAAAAAAAAAAAAAGGAAGAAAATGTCAAGTTAGCAAGCCTAAGGAGAGTTTAATTAAAATCCAAAGAAGAAAAACAAATCACAGCAGTAAAGTAAGCTTAAAAATAGGATAAAGGTCAATGGAGAAGAAAGGCCAAAATGCCCACCTGTTTTCTGTCTGTATTGTGGCTTTTTTTTTTTGTCATGAAAGTTCTGCACTCTAGCTGACCTACATCAAGCAACTGGCTTTTTGGGGCCCACCAGGCAGATCAGCAACACACATGTGTACCTGTATGTGTAATGCACTTCCTATTGATTTTGTGCTTGCTGATAGTCTAGAACAGAGAGGTTTTTTATGTCTTCTATTGTTGTGATACAGAAGATTGCAGAAATCTGTCAGCACTAAAAAAATCTCAGTAACAAGCTTAGTTTATTATCTATAGTAACTATATTCCTTCACACCCACCCCTTATCTGATTTGCCATTATTAGAAGTTTTTTACCTATTTCTCAGCACAGCAAGTGATTAATGGGACTGGCATCAGAAAAAATGTAGGCAATACCATAACAATTAATTTCCTCGTATTGGTGCAAGTTCCATTGCATTTTTTCTGTATAATCACAAGTCTTCACCTCCTAAATAGCCTGCTGAGTGGAGGTTGGAGAATACCACTGTGTCTTTCATTTGAGAATCATTGAACTTCGTATGGATACTAAGCTGTCATTTGTGATGCAATTTCACTGGGCTATTTCCCATCGACTCCAGCTGTATCCTCCAAGAAGACATGTTGGCAGGATTGCACTTCTCCAGCTGGCCTTGGCCTTGATGTTCCAGAATTCAGAGTTGTTGCCCAGGGGAGTGAAACTAATAACCAATACAAATATTTTATCTAGTAAGAGTTTTTCTATGTTTGTTTGTTTGTTTGTTGTTTTTTTGTTTGGTTTTTTTTTGTTGTTTAATTCTCTTTAAGACAAATTTTGAGCTTTGCTCTAAACTAATAAGCTCAGTGGGTGGGAGGTCTAGAGTCCATAAAGTCAAGATACTTCATGAGCAGAAATTATAAAAGCAGGTCTGATACCTTATTTGGAAAATTTATAAATCTGAAGCTTCCCAGATTACTATATATTGGTGCATTGAGATTGACAGTTGTTGCAGGAAAATATTCTGTTTGTTATTACAACCAGCCTCATTGTGAAAGCTTATCAGCATTCTTCCATTAAATTGCCAATATCCTAGATAATGTAATTTCAGAAACATTCAATAGTCAATTAAAATATTTATGGTTTGCTGAATTAAAAGCAACATGATTCTCTAGGATCTAAATGTGAAATAAAATAGATAATCTTTAT